CAGCAGGAAAAGCCTGCCAAATTAGTGTACAGAGTAGATGAGGTCTCTTTACCCTGATAGCTGAGAAAAGACTGTGAGAGATCATATGTGCCTGATATACAGGGTTTCCAGCACTTTTTTGCTTGGTTTTGTTAGGCCTGTCCCTCTCCTCTCACATGTCCACGTAATATCATGGAGTAAGTACTAGCAGCTCTTTCTCAGGATGTAGAGAATTATTAAAATAGTTTATTAAAAAACAAAATGAAGCGTACTCTTTTTTCCATTCTCTCCATTCTTTTTCCATTCACTCTGCTTGCTTTTTGAGCATTTTTATTGCTTTTCTTTTTCCTTGTTTGAGTGCTTGGTCTTAGCAGGGTACCAGCAACCAGCAGTCTGGCTCCCTATGTGGCTGATGACAACGGCTAAATATTTCTAAGAGCATTTCAAAGTATTCAAGTAAGGTGCCTTCCTCTCCTTACTTAACGTTTAAGGAGTTAGTGTACCTCTGAAACATGTTTGCTATTGCATCCTGAGAAGGGAACTCATTACAGCCGGTCAATGGAAAATGCTCTACTGTGAAGATCTGCTTCAGTACAGAAAGGTAAGACAGACATCCTGCACCTACCTTTGCAGGGACAGCCAGCTGCTTGGTATTTGCTATGAAAAGCTTCTCTCTGATTTTTTTGGCTCTGAGTGCAGTGCATGTCTTGTGCCAGGCCTGTAGGAATTGGATTTCTGCTCTGTATTTGTGCTTCTGGTGGGCCCTGCGGTGGCACTGGACGGATGTAATTGCCTGTGAGTTGCTGCAGTGATGGGTCCACCAGGGCCCTGAGTCAGGCACTTGCATAACGCCTCTCTGGCCCGGTGCAGGGTTCGTTACCTGGGACAAATAGGCTGAGGGAGAGCCAGAAACGAGCAAGATCACAATACTTACTTAATGAGCTTCATGGCAGCAGTGCCTTCTAGGGCTGTTTGCACACTTGGTGGGTCCTGAATAATTTTTGTAGAGAATCATTTCAATACTGATTGCGCATACAGTTTTGCATTTCCAGTTTTTTAAATGGCAAATAAGCACATCTTTTTTGTCACAAGCTAACTGTTGTTATAGTGAGATTTGTGGGGGTTTTTAAATAATATATACATTTTTTTGTTGCCAAATTTGTTTTTGTCAGGTTTATCTCACCCGAAATCCATTACTTCACAACAATCGTAAGATGCCACGGCGATGAGCGCTCTTAAAAGTGTGGAAAAATTTGCCAGGGATGTTTTAGTTCCAGAGGGAGCAAACAAAAGGGCGATGGCAGTAGGAGCCCATGATTGCTCAGTTTAGGTATGGGCACTTGGAAAAACTCAGTCAAGCTGTGGTCTGTAAATACAAAAATAATGAGGCTATTATTTATTGAACATTGTTTTGCTGTAAGCAAGCATGTTAAAAAAAAAAAAAAAACAACCTCAGTCTGATCTGATGCGATAGGAGCTGCGACCACCTTTGATCTCAAGCACAAAGTGCCTTGAGTATAGCTATGCTGGCAACGGGCGAGCGTGCGGACTAGGTTATGTACCACGTTTTCCTGGGCTGTATTCCATCTAGAGCTCCACGTTTTGAGGCTGTGTCCATGTGGAAGGAATGTGTTTTTCTACTGCAGCCAGAAGGTGAGGAGAATGTGGTACTAGCACTCAGGCTGCAAATTAACAGAAGTCAACAAAGCAGAGACTACTCAGTAACAGTGGGAAGACAGAGAAGCTGTGCTTGTCGGAACATAACTTAAATGCTTTGGCACTGCTTTTCTTTTTTAATATATATTTATATTTATTTGGGTGTGGTTGTTACCTGCTGCAACATGAATGCTTTGTCAGTGCTGTGGGTTTTTTTCTTGTTTAATTTTTATTTGTGTATGGTTATTATAATTGACCCACTAGCTGAAGCTGTATGAGATGAGCACATACTGTTGTATTCATCTAACTTCTGTACAATGCTTGTTACAAATGGGGTAAGGATCACCAAGCACAGTAGACCTGCAAAGCCATGAGCTGGTGGTGCATGGTGACCTTATTTAATTAAAATAATAACAATAATTAAAAACTCCATTTAAAAAAAAAAAAGGTAAGGGAGGGGAGCGAAGCAGCAGCTATTTCACAGGCAGCCCTGCATACGCTTCACGCTGTTGCAGCAGTATCACAGCGATAGCTGGATAATGGCGAACTCTCAAGGAAACTCAAGTCAGTGTAAACAAACAGTGCAGTGGGCCATTAAACCTACAGTATATTGGGTTGTTTTGGGGAGTTGGCTTTTGAGGGCATGCAATACTGGAAAAAAAATAAGTAAGTGGGAGAGAGAAAATTTACTAAGTAAGTAAGTGGGGAAAAAAAACCCCACTACTGCCAGTAAGTTCTAGCAGCAGACAGAGCTCATCTTGGGCTATTAACACCAACTGAAACTACCAACACCGCTGTGCCCTGCAGGCAGCATGCTTATGGCGACATGGCTAATACCAGAGCCACTGTAGGACAGGGCAGAAATGGTCCAAAGGGGCTGAGTTGATGCTGCCAAAGCAACGATCGGGGTGGGGAGGGGGTCATATCGGTGAAGATACAGCTTTGTTTTGGAAAGCATGCTGAAAGACTGCATCCCTGGAAAGCCTGCAGCTCTACACGATCGCTACCAGAGCTGCAGCAGTGCCAGAAGGCAGAGCCAGGCCCAGAAGCGCATGGGCGTTTGACAGGGCCCGACACTGAGGTTGAGGCGGTGGGTGCCACCCAAACCCTCCGAAAGGCTCCCTCTCGTGTATCAAAGCAGACACACTTCTTGTATGTAGTCTTTCAGGCAGTGATAATTAATGCCTTTGTTAGGAACTGCAGAGTCATGGGTTTGTTTAGTTAAGACGATGTGTAGGCTCAGGAAGAGGCGCTAGTATAGCTCCAATTTAGCATGCTTTAGCTAGCTACAGGTGACAGGGTGTGCTCATTTAAAAAAAAAAACCCTCATAAAATGGACTTTTTCCTCTTTTCTTTTTTGGTTTCTTGACAGTACAGCTGCAGCAGTATCTAGACCCTTTCTGCCCACTACACAAGGAGAATTGGGGAAGCAGGAACAGAAAAGGCCAAGAGTCACAGCAGCAAGAGTGAGTACTAGGTGTTAGTATTGGTGCCAGGTGAGCACAACTACCTTATGTGCCCAGCACCACTCTTGTCACCCTCCACTGCAGGGACAGGCAGCAGCACGCATAGCGTAGCAGCACACTGGTCTCAGCTTTGCCGTGCACTTCCTCTGTGACACTGGGCAAGTTATTTATTTAAGCGCTGTGCTTTAAGTAAACTCATCTGTGAAATGGAACAAAGCTATTTTTACTCCTCCTAAGAGTCTAAAACATGACTAGATTAGCATACCTTTACAGCGATTACAAGGAGTTAAGAGTAGAGGTCAGACCCCCCCCCCCCCCCCCCCACCCCTGTGCTTCTTCCTCTTTTTCTCCGCCCCACATGCTATTTTGAACTGGAAGACAGAAGAAAAAGGAGGATTTTTTTTTTCTCTTTGTTTGATGTTTCTTGGGATTTAGAAAACTGAAACATTTAACTAACTAATGCTTTGAATAGGTTACCACTGCTGCCCAATATTTGACTTTCCCCCCAAATCTTCTTTGCTCCAGAAGACTCCTGCAAAATAGGGTGCTTGAAAAAGATACCATTTCGTGCTAATTATTATGTGCCATATTTTGTTTTTAAGCAAACTTGATTTGTGGTAACGCACTTTCACATTCTCTAGTTTACATTGTTGTTCATGACACTGTGCCTGTGTACAGCTGTATTTCTAAGCATAGTTTATTTTTCCATTTTAGTGTTATAGAAATGGTAAGATTGGTGCTTTTCAGCTTTAAGTAAGTCTCTGTACTGCAGGATGCCTGTGGTCTTGCACTAGTTTCAAGTTTTGTTCAATATAGAGATCCTTGCAGCCTTTCCAGGCTGAGAAGAGGCTCTAAACACTGTGAGAATACTTCTACTTTTTCTTTCTCAGGTTTTGGGGGACCCTTGTGATTTATGCTGTATGTTTAGAAAAGTAGACTTGACTTTGAATGGAAAAGACATATTAAGAATAGGAAGCGTGAGTTTTGTTTTTTTTTAATTGTGCACTGTAGGAAAATGGAACATGCTGCAAGTGCCCTGATTTTGTTTCATTACCCTTCCTGAGAAGTGTTAATGGGGATGGATACCAACTGACATGACCTGCACTATTTCAGGCTACAAATTAGCACAATACAACACAGTTTTCCTAGTCCAGACAGACTAGAACACTTTTTTGCACCAGCACTGAGAATTTTATAACTATGCAAATCAGCATCAATAGTTGGATTAATATTTTAATAATTACACACTTTTTACATTATCAAAATAAATCATAAATAGTGTAAAAATAATTCTGAAGATCAACTTCTCACAGGCAAGGAACAAAAGCTGAAGTACAAAACTCAAAGAAAACAAAACAGTATTCAACTGAAAACCAAGGAGAAATTTTAATAATAAAAACAAAAGCATGCTGTTTGATCAGGTTCTATTAAAGTCAGGACCAGAGGCCACAAGAAAGTGGTAATTAATAACAAATTAAAATGGGTAATTTAAACTTTGCAATTGTTTACAGTACTAGGCAAAAGAGGTCTTGTGCCATAGTCATAGTGCTAAGACACTCAAAATATTTCTAAGATTGATAATGTGATACTGACCCATGTGGTTTTTTCCCAAAAGCAGTGTAATCCCTGCCAAATTACTTTTCTTTGTATTTTTATCTCCTCTACTGCATGTAAGAGACCATTTGCAATACAAAAATAACTGCACATATAGATGAACTTAAAAAAAGTAAAAAATACAAATAAAAATATATAATATTTTCCAAAGGAAAAAGTCAGATACATACATCTTAGTAACATTTTAAAAGTTGTGTGATATTTTCCCAAACATGTACAATAATATAAGAATATCCACATATATGTTAACAATATGTAAAACATTCTTCCATCAACCCAACTCTTCATAATACTTCAGAAAAGTGTGCAAGTACCAATGGTATCTGGGAAATTTATACAATTTCTTTTTTAAATAGAAACAAGTAAAACAATAACGGTCCCAGGTTAAGTTAAGGCCCCCTCTTTTCCAAAGAAAATCAATTTAAAGCAGCATTGATAATTGGATGCATTTAAAAAAACAGAATGAAACAAAAACAACACTCCAAATCCTTTTTTTTTTTTTAAATACAAATTCCATTTGTTTTGTGAAACATCTTTTTCAGATTCTGTCACAGAAAGGATGGTGGCAGGCACTTGTTGCTAACATCATTTAATGAATCCAGCCACCTTGTAAAATACTTAAACAACAGAGGGTGTAAGAAAATCGTCATGTGCAAGTTATAGCAACATTCAGACTCATAATAAGAAAGTTGTGGAAAGAAAACAAATCAGATGTCTTAATTCTGGTCACTGAAACTGAATCATTTTCAATGTCTAAAATTAGACTTGTTTTTGACTGCTGTCTTTGCAGACATCAGTACTTTTGTGTGACACTTTTTAGTGTGAAAACTTAAGGTCTCTCATAAGGTAATATATAGAGATTTTAAATTGTAATTTAATTTAAGATGGTCAAGTAGCAGAGGTAAGGAAACTTGAAAGGAAAGGTCAGTTCTGTGTGTTTTGTAACATCTTAAGCACGTTCAAGAGACTGGGAGTATTTTTGCAGTTTTCACTCACTGAAGTAGTCCTGATTTAGGCAAAAACACTAATATTGAAGTCTACAGCATTCCTTTTGTTGCCGAATAAGACCGAGCTCACTTCCCACGAATGTCTCAAAGTGCTTTCCAAGGGAAGGATGTATCACTGTCCCCATTTTATTGCTGAGGAAAGTGAGGCACAGGAAGGCGACAAGCCTTGCACAGCTGAGCCCAGGTCAATGAAGAGAAGTCACTGGAATGACTCTCTCTAAACTCAGGTAGGACCCAGGATTTAAACCTCATCTCCTGCCCCAGCGCTCAGCCTTGAACAGCACCGCCTTCCCGCTCGCACCGAAGGGCTACGTGGGCCATTTGGGGCTGCGTCAGCTCTTCCCGGCATAACTGAGTAACCAAATGCTAATACACATACTCTTCTGCTACTGTAAAGCCTAGTGGAACCGCTGCTAACTTTCCACGTTATACATGAATTTTCAGGATAATCCTTTTTTTAAACTGGATACTTTAAATGGATGCAGATATCCTGATGTGATCTTTTTGAAACTTGTTCATAATACTTACATGGTAGACAAAAAAGAATATAAAAACAGCTGGATGAAGCTCATTCTGCCTTGCTACAATATCAGAAAGTGACATCAAAATCAGCAATAAATAAAAATATAAATCAAAAAATACATTATATAATTGTTCCATGAATTAACATTTCATGCTTTAATCTCAGGAAAAAAAAATGGTGTCCAAAGCATCCTGAAAGAAAGATTCCCCATAGTCTTTGTCTTCATAGATTAGCTATGTGCTTTAGATGCATTTCAAACAGTGCTTAATAGACTTACTGCTTCTGCAGCAGAACTTCTGCACAAATGTGATTATAATACACTTGAGCAACAGCTGTTTACAAAACCCAGTATCAAAAAAATACTGAAAGCTGTCAAAGGAACAAGAATTAATCATATCCGAAAAAGTCAGGGATATAGAAACCGTATAGACTAATATCACTGACACATTTCTACAGCTAACAAGACTGGCAGAGGAACTAACATTTCAGTGAGCTCACAAATTAAGCAAAGCAAATCATACCTACTAGGAGGAATGCTACTAAAAGTTAGAGCAACACACACACAGGTGGTTCAAACTGTAGCTTTGCCATCAAGAGAAAAAAGATACACTAGCACCAAAAGTAATTGCTTAAAAAAAAAGTGTTGCAAGTCTTCACAGGGTGCTTTTCCTTAATGAAATATTGAACCCAACTTACTTTTTGTGTACTATATATGCAACTTTTCTAGGTACTATTGGGTTTCACTTCAAGTAAATCTTTGTGATGCAAATATTTTATGTAAATATTAATATCAAATCTGTATATTTAGTTTAACCTGTCAGATTACATTGTGTAGCTGCTGTTCACCCATTATAATTTAAATGGAACAAACCTTTCATGACACTAAACAAAACAGAGGCTTTAGGAAGTTAAGATAAATTAAATTAATTGAGATAAACAAGATTCCTATCTGGAGGCAGTCAACTAAAGAAATTACTTTGCAAGACAGAAAAGAAAATGAATAAATGCATTTAAGTGTTTCTTCAGGCCTTAAAGGAGAACCAAGTTCTGACTGATGTTTAGAAGTCAAAATAATATATTCAACAGTAATGATGATAAATCTTATTTTTTGAATGATGAAACCATGAACCAAAGTTCTGCTAGTTTTATTGATGCATTTAATAGTTCTTTATCTTGATGCTATTTCTTAAAATGAGTTGTGTTTGTGGACTGTCTCGATATGGGATTGCTAAAACGATTAGCCAAATAGTAAACATCCCACTTTATCTTGCATGCGAACACTCCGAGGGACGTTTTAAAAATACTATATCTTACTGCATAGTTGCCAGTATATGATAGTGTATAAAAACATGCAACTTCTAGTCTTTACATCTATAATGTGTCAAGTCAAGACATAGGTATAAGAAACGCCTTTAGGCTGGGCAGGGTGGGGGGTACCCTCTTCCTCAGCCTGTTTTAGTAGTAATAGTAGTTGTTGTTGTTTTTCTTTCTGTTTTTGAGATGGTTCCTCTTAAACTGCAGAATAAACCTAGGAAGTAGAAGGGTTTACATGATGCTCCTCTTGTCCCCTTTCTGGAAGAATTTCTTATTGATGTTAGCGCTGTATCAATGTGATTAATAACATTTTATATTAAATTATGCAATACAAATACTTTTACTATTGTAATCAGTATTATTCATAATAGTTGGATACTTGCATCTCTGAGAAGTTAATTTAAGCAAAGAAAAGCATTCTTCCTCATATGTATGAACACTTGTTTATTTCTTATTGCGAGAAAAAAAAATGTATATATAGAATGTTTTTTCCTGTGGGAATTTTGTTTTTATTAGTAGGGTGCTATTAGATGGAGGCCTCTATAGTCGCTTTTAGATTAAAAAAAATTTGTGGAAGATTTTCCACCAGGAAAGGCTATTTTTGTCTCTGATATAGCAAAATTACAATAAACATTTAGCAAAGTGAGAGACAGCACTACACTGGCATTTGTACTGATCTGAGATTCTAAACTGATCCTGGAAAGTGCAACCACAGCAGGTCCCCATCTTCACGCGACTCAGAAATCACTGAGCAAGGAAAAAAACATACATTCCAAGATGGGCAAGGTAACCACACATGAATGGAGACAAGCTGTCTTCCTCAACTCAAGTTTTGGTCTACACATGAAAGACAACTCTCAAAAAAGTAACTAACATAATTATCATCCTGCTATATACTAGGAACTGAGGTGATATAAAAAGAATTTCCGCCTGCCAAATATGGCACCATCTCTCACAAAGTAGTCTCTCAAACTAAGTACAATGCACCGTATGAAGACTCAAAACCATACAAAATACCTTGTGGCAAAAACTACAACTGTGCACCAATTAAGTACTTCTAGTAATTAAAAAATGGAGAAGCAAAATGTACCCAGTGTTTCTCTTGAATTCTAGTCATCTGATCAAAAATGGAGAAAGAATTACACCTTTTGCAGTGTACTGTGATGACAAGCGCGCGACAGTAATCACGCAGACATTTCTCTAATGTTTTTTTGGGTAACAATGTCCACGAAAATCATTGCAACAGCAGAAAAAGAACAAGATGAAAAAAATCAGCCTGTGAAACCCAAAAATAAACTCTTTTCTTAAAGGCTTCAAAAACTGTAAAAAGAAAAACTGTTAATACTGAAACAAGATGAACGTGTGACTTGATGTACTTTCTTCAAAGCCATCATCACAAATGTTTAATAGATTATTGAAACATATCCTTTACGGAAACTGCTAGGAAAAAATTAAACAAAATTAACCACAGCTTCCAAAATTTTGCAGCAAAGTTCAGCAAATTCTGTGTAACTTAAAGTGAATCACCTGAAAAACCACACTACGGTACATGGGTATCTGGTCAGTTCCATTATTCGCCAGAGGAGAATGTCCTAATTCATCCCCGTCTCAGAAATGCTTCTTCTTTCAGCAGTCCCAAAATGCAGTACGTAGAGCACATACTGTGTCAATCCTTGAGTAAGGTTGAGAAGCGTCTGGTCTCCAGCAGCGTCTGCTGTCCAATGATCCCCACAGCATCTTTGCAACCTTTTCAAGCAACCCACAGAGAAGTCTGGCTTCTTCTTCAAACTTCTTTCCTTCTTGATTAAGCAGTCGACACGTCCTATCGCGAATGTCTTCATGACTGTGAGCAGTGCAAGGCAAACCGATGCTGATTAACAGGTGGGACCCTTTTGGTGCAAAGGGTGACCCGCAGAACTGGAAGCCATCCACCTGCAGCTGGAACTGTGTTCCCCAAAAATTCAAGGCCTCTTTCTACTCTCCTCTGCTTTATCTCTTTTTAGCAATAAGCCATGGTGTGACTCCCTTGAGATGATAAAAGGAAACAGTTCAGAAGTTTGAAGCAAAGGTCACAGTGAGCAGCCATTTAGCATGTGACATGATCACACAACAAGCAGGTTTGGCACACAACTCATGCTTTTTTAGTCTGTGCAAGCAGATACGGTGGCATGTATCAGTGAAGCGTTTAAGATGGACATGGAAGCCAAGTCAGTAAACTCCAATGGCAGCTGGTACAGTACATTTGATAGCATTTAGCTCTTATTTGGTCACAATTTCTTGTAAACTAGTTCATGGCACTCATTGTCCATGCAAGTCCACAAGCCAAAATATAAGAATTTACAGAAATAATCTGATTTCTATTATTGAGCTCTATATAGATCTCTCTAGAGAGAGAGAATCTTTGCAGGTTTGTCCTGCAGTTATATATCATCTAACTGCAGATGTAAGTGGAAAAAAAAGATGTACTACACATGGACTACTGCAAACAAGCAGAAGCATCTACATGTAAACATATCTCAGACTTGTAAAATCAAATTTTCAGTTTTCAACTATAAATACAAAAAAGTGGAGCACTATATACACAACTTCATGCTTGTAAGGTTAGAGTCATCACTGCAAAAGAGACAAAAAGAGATACAGATTGACCAAGTTAGTAAATCAGTATTTCAAATTTATATTCCAAATACTTAGGTACAGCAGAATTGCAAATCCATATTTTTATTTTCTCAGCACCAGCTATTCTTCAGATATGCCTACAATAGTAGTAATTACGGTAGATTTTTTTTTCTATTGTTTGAGGTAGCACTTACAAAAGATGCTTGCAACTTCCCTTTCTACTTAGTAGAAATAATTATTTTGGTATAATTGAGGCATAATTACCTTTCCTACTTAGGCTTTTTTTTTTTTTTGGGGCGCTGAGTAACTTGCTTTGAAAGCAAGACAATTTAAAACAATGTGCAGATCTACTTCAGCCGCCTCTTGGACTAAAGAAAAAAGAAGATCCTTCATCAGCTGTTGACTGGTTTTGTGGAGTAAAACAAGCTGTCCTTAGAGGTGGAGTGACTTCAGTTCCCTTCCAGCAACAGGATGTACAACAGTACATGCATCACTTGGAAACACTAGTAACTTAATAAGATTTTGAGTATTACATTTGTTCCTCAGCTACCTTGCCTGTTTCCAGAATCCATCACTCATCAAAGGAGCAGAAACTGCAAGCACATTTAGTAAGAACTGGTGTACAAACACCAGTTCTCTGCTGTGCCTGCCCTTTGTTTGTCTTCCGTCTTTTTTAAATTAGAAATTGCATTTTTGCTCCAGAAAGTAAAATAGCCTTTTAGGATTTGGTCTATTAATTACTTGATCTGTGCAAATAGGTCTAAATTTTTCCAGGTGGAAGCAAGCAAACAGATGAATGGAAAAAACTCTTGGTCTGCCTGTGCTGCCTAGCTGTGTCATGAATAACTGCTCAGCAGATGCTGTTTACTGTCCCTTTGGCTAGACGCGTGTGTAAGGACACATGTGGACTGCCTCAGTTTGCAGACCTGTTCGTAGCAGCTTATGTGCTTCCTGGCTTGGGGGCTACACTCAGCTTCCAACCCACACAATGACATGCTCACAGACATTTCTCAAACAAAATATTTCACAAATAGCCACTCTCATCATTCAGAAGCTACTCCCAGGAAATAACTATCTGGAAATAGTTCTGAAAAATGCTTAGGGCAAAAACCTGCCTCCAGTGAAGTCAATGACTGTTTTGTCATTGAGTTAAACACATCCAGAATTTCACTTATGCTTTAGTTTTTCTAATGTATTAATCCAGTATCCCTCCACCTACAGCTTTACTCTCAATACTAATGTTTTTAAATCTTGTCTAGGTTAAGTCATTACCAAAATAATTTTGCCAGCTAACAGTGACATAACACAACGATAAGAGCCAATAAAACCATAACTATCAGGCTAATGCACTGAAGAATAGAAAGGTAAGGCAAAGAGAAGGCAGGATGCACTGTTCTCCTAGGTATCCCAGAAAAATCAGATCATAAAAGAGCAATACATATAGCTGATAAAACTGCCATATCCATGAGCTTTTATAAAAAAATGGCAGCCAATGATCATGTGTAGAAACCAAAGGATGTGTGACTTTTCATATGAAAGAGAACAGTCTTTGACTTGCCAGAAATTCAGTGCCAACTGCCTCGATGAGTTATTACTGCTACATATTTTTACAGTCTCGTAACACCAAATACTGTCATGGAAAGGTCTTATTTTGTGTTGCTGCATACATTGAACTGTCTAAGAGATTCTGAAGTGTATCATGAAACTGTGCAGTATGGCTGTGACAGGGTTTTCCATGTGCCCTGGGAAGAACAAGCTCTGCCCATCCTACCTTTTGCCAACAGCCAGGCATTGGTAATCCATCAGGACCCTGTTTTGGGGTTAGGGGGAGAAGGGGAAGTAAGAAAAGCATAGTTAGGTTTGACAGAACAAATATCCCCAGTATCTGCTAGAATAGCTGAAGCAACTTTGCTTTTCTATCTAATAAATAGCTACTATTTCCTAACTTACAATTATCTCTCATTCTCAAGGTGAAGGAAAAGCCAAAGGAGAGAATGTTTACACTGCAAATACATACGTACCTCCCTGCTATAAAGATTTGTTTTTCCTAAATAGTTACTACTCTATATCTAATCACAAGAACGTCTTAATCACTTTCCCATTGCTGTTAGAGCTCAGGCTGTGCACTATTGTAAATCTAGTCTGTCATTCACAATCTGTAGCTGAATGTACAAGATCAATGAGCAAAAACGTTATCACTTTTATCTGGAGTGTTTTTTTTTTATGGGCCCCTAGTACAAAAGTTAACCCACTGAACAAAAGTTAACCCACTGATAAAATAGCTACGCTCAAATTCTACCAGAATCTTTTCTGTTCACTTTCATTCTTAGCTTTTGAATGAAGCAGCAAAAACTTAAGGCCTGCACAGACACCCTAATGAAACAGCAGATGAAAACTTTGAACATCAGTGGTGCAGGCAGCATTGACTATTTCATAGCTTGGGCAGCACAGCTGTCTAATTTGTTATGTTAATGAGAGTTACTACATTTCTTTTCTTTCGCTGCCCCGCTTTCACACATTTCTATGTGTCCAATAAGATCAGAGTCAACTTTTGATCTGTTAAGCAGATCTGTTATGTTGTGGAATTAATTCCAGTTTAAATACCTATAAAGGGCTTATCCATTAAAGAGTTACATGCTCAGAATTAGGAACATATATCCTGTTACTAGACTACAGACTAGAAGAAAAAAAAATCAAGCCTTTACACGTTTTAGAATAAAGAACAGTAATACTTATTACATGGATGTTCATGTGAAGATATGCTCAAGATAAATATGAGAATTTTTAATGTGCATGCACGTAATCTGATGGGAATGACCTGCTGCCTAAAGCAAGTAACAGTGGTGTCTGCTTAGCAGCTTATTCTAGTAATTACCTATGAATGGAATATTTTTCATTCATCAGCAATTATTTATGAATCTCCAGATATAAATGATAATACAGAAACAGAGAAACATTTGTACATTGTGAAAGCATGCTTGATCACCCCTAACAAAATATATGAGATATGGTTACCATTAATTGGAAGCAAACAAAATATAACATGGACTATGTATTTAAGATTAAAATCCATTGATACCTTTAAATTAGAAATGCTATAGTTGAAATAAAAATCTACTTAATTTAACATTCATCTTAGAGAACCGTGCTTAACTACCAAACGATATCAGAACATGCAGATCAATTTTTACTGCCAACAATTAAAAAAAAATCTTTCTTGTATCTTTAGGAAATGTGTATGTACTGTTCATTTTTTAAATGGAAAGTATTTAAACTTACTTTGCTGTTAAATAAAAATCAGTGTTGCCAGATTGGTACAAGGGAGAGGGTAAACAAGTAGAATTTTAGTATAGGTGGGAACTTGAATTCATGCTAACAGAGAAGTGGGGGAGTGTTGTGTGTGTTTCAGGAAGGTAAGTTCCAAGGGTAAGGACTATTAAATTGAAGACGTTAAATAACAAAGACAGTGAGGGATTGGGCTGCAGACCGTTATCTTCTTAGAAACCTCAAGTAAGCTTTTGATTTTCAGATCTGAATACTATTTGATGAATAGGGCAGATACCAAAAATATTGCTTCTGTAAGGTCTGGGGGGGATCAGGCTTCAGCTTTGCTTTTTGGAAACCTATGGTGTGATTTATAGAGATGGTATTTATCCCTTCTTACACAAATCTCATTTTGACCAAATCCTGAAAACATGTACCCAAGACTACACAGATTTGAAAAGTCGTCCAGGGTGCAGAATAGCTCTGGGGTAGGCTAGTGTGAAGTATGAAGCCAATGTAGAGAGAAGTCATCAGACTTGATTAGAAGTGGACATTGTGCTGGTTTTCTACTTGCGTTCAGGGTGAGTAAGGCAATAGGCATATTGTGAGGAAAATAACAAACAAACAACTCTCAGGGAAAATGTAGGAAGGACACAAACTTATAAATTGGTATGTGATATGGGAGCAAACTGCTGAGAGTTAGATTTAAGGTGTCAGCAAAAATGTGTGTTCTCTCATTACAGTTATGATCACTGGAAGCAGCTGGTTTATTCATGCACATGCATGTGTTATGTGAATAATGTAAAGTCTGCTCAGAAAAACATTACTTTACATCGAGAATGGCTGACTACAAACAAAGGAACCGCATGCAGGGTTGGTAGGAAAGAGAAATACTGTACCAATTGGCAAGGGGCATCCAGCCCATCCAGGCCAGGCTGGCCTGGCTCCCCTTTTTCCCCCTTAATTCCACGGAATCCCTGTTTGTAAAGATTAACTTGCAGTGTTACTGTCAAGGAAATGCCTTCGGTATTGACTTAGCTGGAGCAAACAAATAACAATGGTGAGGCAAGAGGAGCAAGCTCATAGCACTGGTCATTGCAGTCTGTGGGACACTGACTCTGGTGCACACCAAATTTGGTTCCCTTCCAACACGGTCGGCAGAAAATAACAAAAACAACGTTTTGTTTGAAGGTCTTTAAATCAAATTAGGAGGACAAAAGCCAAAGTCTATTCCCAATTTCCAGACCTCAAGATGAGGCTCTGTTAACAAAGGGTAACAGCTAATACTCGAGCTGGTGCTTGTTCCTCTGCCCTTATTTCTTATTGCATCAATCTACAACAGGAGGATCGGCTGTCCAATACATAAGTGAGACGTACCAATGGGCAAGGTGCGTCTAATCCAGGAGCACCCTGTTCTCCTTTCTCCCCTTTAGGCCCCTTTTTGCCTTTCTTTCCCTTTTCCCCCTGTGGACACAATGGTTTGGATAAAACACATTTCATTCTTTTGGAAAAAAAGAAAGAATGGTTCAAAAGTTTGGGGTTTTCTTTTTAAGCCAATGGAGAGCTGAAAGGACACTTACCACTGTGTTCTGGTTTGGATGGTGCATTATGTGGAAAAATAAATGATATGATCACAAGCAAGAACTGCAATCAGTTAGTATTACTTTGTGTTGGTATTTCAGATCATTACTATGAAAGTTTTGAAACCTGGAGCAGGGCTTGAAATAACAAACTGATTTCTTGAGATGGAGGCAGATCTGCAACCCCATGCCATCCATAATCCAAAATTAGAGGTCTTCTATTTTCTCTGTGTGTATATGGACCCTAAACTGAATTTGCCAGCTTAGCAGATTTCTTTGTCACTAGTCAGAAGTAAGTTTGCAAGAGCAAAATTTTTAGTTTCTCTAAAAAGAGCTGGGGCCTGGCTGCTTAGCAGAGCTGGCTGGTTTCTTACAAAATTCTACCACATTCCCTCGTCGGGTATCAAGGGTGAGCTTGGCCCAGAGCATCCCTCCTTTGCTGAATTGATCTCTGGCATCTGGGCATTTTGACAGAGTTTGTGACAAATGCCGTTCTCAGTTATGTCCATGCAAACCTGCTGATGTCCCTGAGGGCACACCGATACCACTCCAAATGCAACATGAACCTTCATTTCAAGCCCTGTTACAGGAATCAAAAGATCCAGACTGCTTGATGGAGAGATGCTCTGGCACTTTCAATGATATCATAATGTCCTGATATGAAAAGCAAGTCAAAAGTGGTAATTACATTTTCTATATCTAGATGTTCCAACATTTAAATGTTCCCTCTACTGCAGGTAACATTTCGTCTACTTATTTTAATGTTATTCAGTCCTTTGATTTTGCACTGAGTTCTCTTTTTAAAAGTAAGACTTCCAAAGCTTAGATTATTCACAGAAATTAGACATGGTAAAAGCTATTCTTTATTTTCTCTCTCTCCTCCCTTCAACAAAGCTACCTACAAAGATAAGCTCACCTTCAAGCAGTGTATGATGTTTGAAGAGTTCATTTTATAATTGATATCACACCAGTTGGTCACAATGGTAAATGAGTTTCAGGCTCGCTCTTAGTTTCACAAAAATCAAAAAAGGTTCCGTTAAAAAAATGAAACAAATTGGACTGGGATTGTAAAAAATGGGACAGGAAGGACAAGTAAATCAGGAATATCACAAAGAAATGGGAAAAATAGTCAAAGGAAAATTAGTATGACACTGGAGAACCAGCAAGGGAGGTTGTGGCTACTGGGAGGATTTAATTTGTGAGGAAAAGGGTAAAAAAGACAGAGGAATTATAAGGAATGAAGGTAGAAGGAGAAGGAAGGAATGCCCCTTTGGAAAGACAGACAGATTTTGGTAAAGCATCATAAATAGACATTTAACCAGCTCCACACCAGCACAGAAAGACTTAATCCATTAACAGAGAGAAGCCATTTTCACACAGATAAAAAAATTAATTAGCTATACCATATTTTAAAAGGAAAGCACATTATTCATGTAATATCATAGTATACTTGACACATTCAAATGAAAAAAATATTTTCCATGAACAAAACATAAGGTACTTGTGACAACACAGGCATAAAGTTCCTTGTCTATCTTTTCTGTGTGCCAAAAAGTTGTAGATTAATATTTAGGAGAAAAACAACTCGAATATTATCCTTACTTAGCAAATTGTAAGATTGTGACATAATGAAAACCATGAGTCAGGAATTGTAAGTTGGCTAAGTTTTCATATCAAACCTACAAGCATGGCAGTATAGCAAAGAAACCCAACAGTTTCCTGGTCAAATCTCATATTATTTGTGCTCAGTGTAACACAGAAGTATTTGCAAGCACAGAGCAAGTACTCTGAAAATGATTCTGAAAATGTGTAAGTACAGTTTGGTTTCTCTTTTTTATATCTTTAGGACTTATATTTCATTAACTTGATATGTTACAAGTCAGCAGCTGACTATTTAAACTTCCAGTTTGTAGGGCAAACCTAAGATCTTATTCCAACCAATGCACCAATAATCTGTGTAGAGAAGAGAACAGTCTGAATTCCCTGAGCACTTTACTAGTTTTTCCTAGCAAACATACTGTACCTAGACTGACATCTTATCCTTAAGCTGCACCTCCTCCCCCTGAATTATGAGGATCCACAGGAAACAAGGACATCTATATCTGATGGGTAATAATAAAATAAATTTAAAAAAGATTTACTTCCTGCCCTTCCTCAGTGGCCACAGAAACCCAAACCTGTGGCACTTTTGTAACACACGTATAGCTGAAGACTCTCCAGGCCTGATAGGCACAAATTGTCCTCACTGCAGGGGGAGTGGGGGGAAGAGGGTGATGCTTTTCCAGCCAAACTTGTTATACACCAGACTCCTCTGTCAGCACTAAAAGCAGCAGACACAACTGCACAGTTGGACCAGGACACCCCCATTCTCCATGCAACACAATCTCTACGTTTTCTTAACTATTGGTCCTTTTTAAAAAGAAAGAAGTGGAAAAAAGTGAAATTTGAACCACCATTTTCTTTTTAGCCACTTTTAAAAACCTTAAAAACCTCTTTACTGATGCAGAATGCAGTATTTAAGATATGATTTTTAAGAAATTGTTTTGCATTCATACAACATAAAAATACAAAACCACTTTTATGAGTATTTTTGCAGTGTGTGCTCCTGGACTATAATTGTATATAAGTAATTACAGCCAGAAAACTTGTTTTTCTTCTTTTACAGCCAAGTTAAGCAGAGATTATAATGCAAACACTGACTTGGTTTCACTGTATCAGAGCTAGTGACAGGCTATAATAAAAATCATTAGTCTAGGATGTGATCTCAAAACTGAAGAACCATCTCTCATTAGAATTTTAGTAATGATAAATATTTTTGCAATGCAATTTGAATTCAGTTGCTAAACTAGAAATGTGCTACACTGAACTTGTGCAATGTCAGTCCAACAGCCAATACTGCAAGCAGTATTTAAAATCCAAGAAATCAAGAGCCAGACCCTCAACTTGTAAACTGGTTTATCTCTATTGAAACAGATGCTGTTACACTAATGTGGTCATAGATAATTAATAATTTGCATATGGAAAAAGATGGAACTGAAAATTTGTTACAATTAAAACTTCTATTATTTGCATTCATTTGTGTCTTTTGAGAGTCACCCTCCCATTTAGAAATGGAAGTAGTGTTGCTAAGCTAAGGTGTTTTCTGTGAAATCAGTTTACTTGTAAGATGTGTTATTTCCTGATTTCTGGAAAAGCTGTGTCAAAACTCCACAACAGCAGTTCTCTTTCACAGAGGTCTCTTCCCTTTCTTTTCACTCAGGAGGAGTTTCTAATTCTCTCTGAATTCCATCTTTCAAGTTAGTCTGGGAATTTTTAAGGCAGAGACTACTCCATCTCTGTTTCCTTCTATGTCCTTCCTGGGATATCTCTTAATCCAAAATCCTGTAAGATCACACGGTTTCTGAAATATTCATCAGACTTGCATAAGTCTGCATATCCAGCACATTCTCCTGAAGAAATAGGTTTCCTGAATTTCTGGGGCAAAGGAATGCTAGACTTCCAAGAAGCTGCTTCCTGCAGCCCAAGAGAAAAAGGCTACAGAGGCAGCCTAAATCACAGCTGAACTCCAAAAATGGCCTAAGCGTGTCTTGTGGCCACACACATCTCTCTGGCCCTCTTGCAACTGGAATTCCCAAGTCTGAGTTATTTTAGGTACTCTCTGGGAATAATGAACCAATATGCAGAAGCAGCATTCTCATATGCCATGCTGGGCTCTGGGACATTAAAAGTAGCTGGAGTTTATATGATCTGAGTGCAAGAATTTTATCTGTGCTGTTTTCACATGAAATTAGATTTATACAAGCCAACTCTTTTACCAGCTTTCCAGTTTTGCTTCCAGACATCTTCCAGGGCTCTGCTAGCTCTATTTAGTCTGCTTATCTTTAGCTGTACATGGAAGCACAGACTCATAGAAATTTTGGTTGGAAGGGACTTTGGAGGTCACCTAGTCCAGGTGCCATTCTAAGCAGGGACTATTCTCCCAACCCTAGATGAGATCAGACCAGACCAGGTCCTTAAAGCCTCCATAAACAGCAGTTCAGCCACCTCTGTGGGTAACCTGTCTCAGTGCTGCCTTGTCCTCCTAGTGAATAAGGTTCTTCCTACGGCTGCTCTGAACCTCCCAAGGAGCAGCTCATGGCCCCTTGGTTTACCATCTGCCACTGCCCAGGACAGTTTTGTTCCATCATCTTCGCAACTTTCCTTCAAGAAGTTTCAGGCTGCTATTAGATCCCCCTTTAGCTTCCTCTTTGCCAGACTAGGTCAGCCCAACTCCCTTGACCTCTCCTATGGGTTGTGTGCCCCAGGCCTCTGCCAGCTCAGTAGCCTTCTTCCTCCAGTTTCTCAAATTTTTCTTGAACTAGAAGGCCCAAAATACTGGACAGAGTATTTAAGTAGCCTCCCCAGGATTGATTAGAGGGGGATAATAACTTGTCTTGATCTGCTAGACACAATCCTACTAATATATCCCAGTATGAGAGAACACACTGTTGGCTCATTCAACCTGGCATCTGCCATAACACCCACCTCTAATGCAGGGCAGCCATCTGTCAATGATCTATCACCTCTGTTAGTCATCAGTTACATCTTTGTACTGATAACTGCTTCTGAAGAGGAAAGCAAAGACTGTTTGCTGCTAGGGGACAGACCCATAGTCTTTGACAGCAAGCAGCAGCTCACCATTCACTGTTATTACTTTGCCAGGTCAGCCACTACCTTTTAACTTTCTTGGAGGACCTGCTTAAGAAAGAGTTGTTCTCTGAAATCAGTGCATTACACACCAGTGATCTCTGAGCTCACAGTATGAACCATATAACAAGGGACAGAAGGGAAGGATACATTTTATAGTATCTTAATCTGGCATGGTCATTTTTTTTCTCCTGATTCTTGACAGGGATTCCTTGATGGGATGTGGACATAGTATAAACCTGCATATGTCAGCTAGGCAAAAAATTGTTGTTCACCCTAAAAAAAACCCACCTGACATGTATATGGGCTTCTATATTAAGTGGCTTGGTGGGAGTGCTAATTCAGCAGTTTTAGCAACTGGAAGAGAGCTAAAGAATATGGCTCTGGATTGCAGACACAGTGGCGGTTTGTTCTCTCTCTCTGCTCACATTTAGTCCTAAATTGCTTGTTACTGATCATGTTTCCAAGGCATTGTGTCTGGATAGCCTAAATAAAGTTAGGCTGTTTCTGTTAACTTCCCTTTCTAGGGAAGTTACTTGTGCTTACCAAAACTGTAGAATATGATTTAATTTCAGTCCACAACCACTGTGGAGTGTGAATATTTACTTCTCTGAACTGTAAATAAGATATTGCCAAAACCAAAAATGCAAACACTTCCTGTCCTGATCCATTTGGAATGGAACACAGGCATGGCACAATGGGATCAACACAGTTACACAGAAATATTGCCAAGGGTCAGAGCTGATGTCTCCAGTATGAAATTACTACCTCAGTGACTCATTTCAGTGATGTCTGCATTAAGAATTACAGGCTGACAAGGACTTTCAACAAGCATAGGGTAGATTGAAGAAAATGAGCCTAAAAACCAGCTGTGAGTAGAACTCTCTCTTCCTCCTGCTTTGGCATGTGCTGATATTAGTGGTTCTGTGCACAGGTTTTTGTGGTCTTCTAACACATGATTTTGCTTAACACATATCTGTAACCTGCCTTTTGGCACACAGTAAAAAGAAAGATCAGGTTTAATGGGACAATTTAAAATAAAGTCAGGCGAACTGACTGGGCTGAGGAATCAAACAGCAGTTAATAGCACTGAGGTCACCTTTTCTCCCTTTTCTCCTATATCACCCTTTTCTCCTCGAGGACCAGGGAAGCCCTACAAAAAATGGACAAAGATAGGTTGGCTTTTATTCATGTGCAGTTTAAGCTTTCAAATACTCTTAGAAAACATACAACAAGATAATTGCACTACATGCTTTGCTTGTCTGTATGTATGTGTGTGGGCACACATGTACACATGCATGCACATGAGTGTATGTGAGAAAAGTAAGTCTTGGTGTTTGGTAGAGTCATTTTGCCAGCAATGGAAAGAAATCATAACACTCAAAATGACAATAGTCCATGCTATGTAGAACATGTAACTTCTGGAAAAGACTCCTCCAAATTAGGGATTTCAGTGAAGGACTAGAGGGAGAGGATTTCAGTAAGTCTTTCTAGCATGCCAAGAGCCCTATATTTTGAAATGCGTATCATGTTACAGAGTGTGCAATTATTCTCTTTAGCTAGGGATGAATTTACTTGACCATATTTTAGTGACTCCTTGCTCTGCTCTGAGCAAGCCACAGGTTTGGCTGGGGAAACGTTTTCTTACCGAATGCAGTGATTCATCCCACTGACTTCCACAGGACCAACTACTTGTATTACTAAGCACTCTATCTGGTGGGGCTTGGAGATAAGGGCTTACAATGCACAGCCTTTGTCCTCTTTATCACAGAGGACCAGCAAATGCAGCGTTTAGCACACTCTCTCTGTTCTGCATGCACACTAAATGGAAATAAACGTATTACACTCAGTAAGCTGTTTCTTGAAAGACGCTTACCTACTATTATGAGTGCATTGGTCATACATATTACTTACATCAAGGCCAGGCTCGCCATCTTTGCCCTGCCAAAGAACCATATAAACTACATTAGTCCCTACACTTTAATACCAATGGCTGTCTTGATGCCTGACTACTTCATCCTGTTTAGTAACACGTGTTGCTAAGACTATACACATAGCATTGCCATTAGTGAAGGACATTTCTGTCAGTGTTTAACATTTCCAGAAACTGATAACTTGACTGTAAAATTTTGCTGTAGTCTGCACAGAGATTCCAGGAGCAGGTCAAAAATACAAAAAAGGCCTATCAGTTTTCATTTTCAGTTCACAACAGGGGGAAACAGAAATTTGACTTTTTTTTTTTTAACTCACAAAAGTGCCCATCAAATAAACATGCACTGCAAATTAACCCAGCATTGTACAGACTGAAAACTTTTTCCAAAGTTGACTCCAAGAGTCAAGAGTCATTGACTCTTGATCCAACTAAATGGATCCAGTTAAACCACAAGTCTGTATTCCAGTTTAAATTCATTTTGGCTCAAACAGACTAGACTAGAGAGGGTATGGCAACAATAAAATGGAAACACTGCAAGTTTCTTACCCGAACTCGCTCTGCCTTGCCAAACATATTTACACAGCTTTTCCTGTGCCAGTGTATAGAATAGACATACGAATACATTTGACTGAGTCTCCAGTAAATTAGAGTAAGTCATCTTACTTCAGTGGGGCTATCCTCATTTAGGCCAAAGGAAGTTCTCATCCATGTTTTAGGGACGGATAGAAGTATTTGAATGGTTGATTTAAAATACAGCACCATCACATATGAATGACCAACAACGAGCTTTTCAAAGTGCTTCTAACTGCCACACACACATGTGCAAAGGAAACTAAAAGTCCCTGCAGTGTCAAGCAAAACAAAAACACAATGGCAAAGTAGCTTTGCAGCAAGAAAATCTGAACAGCTTATTGACATTAAGAAAATCACAGCTTTTACAGCTGCCCTTTATCCTGGACTCCTGCAGCTCTTCATGGTCTCCCCATCATTAGGACAATAGAAAATCTGCAAATTGCAGAAAGAGGAGCGCTTGAACTCTGGGTTCCCTCTGGCTTTTTGGTCAGATCTGTTTCATTACTTTTGCATAACTGCATGCATGAATAGGAATCTAAGTCTGTGACACAGGCCTGTGACCTTGCATTGTCAGGAATTATTATCTATCTTTGCCTTTTCCAACTAATTGCATTGCTAGGTGAAAAGCCTCCATAAAGCACACAGAGTTTAATCAAGGAGTGATGAAAGGTACAATGTGTGCAAATGGGTACAAAATGTGTACCTTACAAAATGCAACTTACAGGCAAGCCGTATGGTCCTCTCGGTCCAGGGTCACCTACAGTTCCCTTTTCACCCTAAAAAAAAGAATATAAAACAAGCAAACAAAAACATTGACTAGCTTAGATAGAAATTATCTCTAACAAGTGCTTTTTTTTTTTCTTGAGTGAAAGTCTGTGCATTTCTAAATCTTTTGAGTGAAAAGATCTGCCAAGCTCATTTTTGTTCTATGACTGAGGGCAGAGGGAAGGTATGTATTGCTTTCTAGGTGGAATGACATTCTGGGCATACAATATTGCATTCGTTTTCATTGTACTGGCTTATAGGTGACAATATAAACATAAAAATACTCAATGCACAATCAGTTAACAACTGAAAATTTTTTTTTGAGATTGAACTTGCACCAATCTTGGTTTTAAGCTTGTAACAGCTGCAACACTGAGTTCCGTAAAAATCTAATGCAATGAAAACTGCGGATACACAGCATCAAGAGCTAGTGCAGCAGCTGGGATTCATCACCATGATGAGCAAAAATAATGTGTCAAAGTTTTGATTTAGCAGACAATGCTAGTAAATGCAAGTAAATAAATTACTCCAAAGTTTGATCTCATTCCCGACCAAAATCCATGGAAGAATTACAAGTTTCTAGAGGAATGCTGCTAAAATAATTTTGCAACCTAAATACAGAGCAAACTTTTCCAGCTGAAATTAAATTTCAAGAAAATGAGTTTCAGGTTAACGATAGCAATCACCTTTGCTCTCCAATTGTTCTTCATCAAGTTTGACCTGGAGGAAACCTTTCCGAGTTAACTAAAACTGTCCTATGCAACCGCAACCACAGCACTCCGTGATGCTGTTGACTTGTCAGGGAGGCTGGCAGGCAGGGCTGGTAAGGAGGTAAGGCTACAGGATAGTGCAGGAAACAGTTTTGTTTCAGACTGTGGTGCTCGTTTTTCCCCGAATAAAACCCAGCAGAAGAGCCATACTCTCTTGAGAGAACTAAATTGCTTGAAGTATTGATGAGACAAAAAAAAAAAGTCCAGATTATCTTCAGTTCTCAAAGATCCCATCTGTATTCATCATGTAGGATTATTCGGATCCCCTTTTTCACTTCTTTTCCTTAATATAATATCAACTTCTGTGCAAGGTTTCTGGCATATATAAGTCCTGTGTTACATCCTAGCAATAGTCTCACTTAAGTTATTGAACTAATTCTGTATACAAGGCCTTCTAAAACCTGGGCTATTTACTACTCATTAATTCATTAATCTATCATCAAAAGCACAAGACAGAGATGTGGATGTGCGACTAATTAATAGTGCCAGTCACTTGTACAGTCAAGTCCCTTAGCACAGCTCTAAAAAAGGACTGCTTAAGTCTAAATTGTACTGATTGCACAATACAAAAAAACAGGCAGCAGAATAAACTGAGACTCAACCTGTCGTTGAATAATCACAGCAATAAAGAGTGTGTTAAGGAAACTGACATTTGATTTGTTTTAGATACTTCACATTTTTATGTGGATTGACACTCTCTATACTCACTTCAGCCTAGTGGAGATGAGAAGTCTACCCTCTGGCTGTTTCTGAGCAGCACTTACACTGGATACTTTGTAGAACAACAGGAGTACTGGGAAGTAACAGCTGATTTATAAAACAGTAAATCTCTTAAAGCTTTAAAGCTTTCTCCTAAGAAGAAACTAATGTGCTGACCTATCTATATAATAGCTACAAAACTGTTTGATCAATATGCGAGCTATGTCAAGACTAGCTAAGTATCATGTTTTATCTTCAACAGCAGAGACAACTGTACAAAGTCCCCTCAAGATAGGCCTGTAACATTGCTAAGCATATGCTAGACATAAAAATACTGACATTTTAGCATATCAGTCTACGGAAGGAATCTCATCTGTTATGCAAGAATATATTTAGAAAAACGTATCTGACAAATGTTTTCCTTCCAATACAAAGCACGTGCTGAAATGCACTTGGAATACCAGATGAGGTCCTGAATATTTGTGGATTACGTAAGACTAATAGATTGTCACAGGCATACTGCGCTTAACAAGCGCAATAAATTATTTCCGTTAGAGAAACGAACATTTACAATGTTCAAGAAAGTTTTTAATTTCTTTTCATAAGACAACTTCCACTGCCAAAAGAACAGAAATTATAGTCTTTGCTTTTGCCTCCTATTTCAGTTCAATATCCTGAACCATAGGCAAATGTCAGCTATGGTTTGCAAGAATGAAATTGCATAATTGATGTTTCCATTAAAATTGATATGGAGATTCCATAGCACTAGTGTGGTAACAAATATTTTAATCAAAGAAGAAAAGATGCATTTTCCCTTCCAGGACAGAACTTGTGTAGCAAGATCAGCATTGGACAGATTACCTGTCTGAAAGCAAAAACAAGCTCAAAGACAAGGCTTTGCCATCAAGGCAAGAGTTTCTTGAAATTAGTTTTTCATTAACTGTGTCTCTTCCAGCTTAAGACTGACAAGAGATTGCATACATATTGTGCCTGTCATTACTCTGCATGTTTACATGTTCCCTTTCACTACTAGTAGTTCAAGATGTTTATCTGTTTACCAGTGCTCTTTATTTTATCTCAAGACAATATGTAAGATAATAAGGTAAAAAGCCAGATTGAGAGGCCTATTATAATCAACTCCCCCATCTAATGAAGACAGCCACAATAAGAGATCCCTATGCTCCTAGCAAAATGGTATTTTCAATAGCCAAAGAATTTATTGAAGTCATTTTTGTTTGTACAGGAAATACACAAATACAGTATTAAAATGTTCATCGGTACCATACTTAAGGAGGCGTTTTATCCTGTGTTAGCTTTTAATAGTCAATGAACAGTTTAAAGTTTAAAGAGAAAACTACATGGCTACGCTCACACAGTGAGTTAACAGCTTGTTTGTTCTAAAATTCATGACTCCCTACTTCCTAGTAACATGCACTATTTCCCTAGCCCACCTTTTGGCCAAAGTAAGTTTTACATATAGGATTGTCTGATATTTTCTATTTTAATTAAATAGCTAAATTTTGAAACAAACCAACCCCCCCTAATTTGCACAACAGTCTGTTCCATCTAAGAAGAGTAATTCATCATTGCCACAAACACTGACTATAAAAAAGTGAATTCATGACCTCTATAGAAGAAATTATTAGGTTTCAGTTTGATGATACTTTCTTTCTTTAAAAGTTAAGGAGGCATAAATGTATAGTGAACAGCATTTTACGTGTATCCTCTTAAAGTGAGATTGGAGTTTCAAATTTTAAACAATGTGAATTTAAGAATGTGGTTATGTTTCCCCTTAGGACTCCCTAGTACCTTTCTAGGTTAATCTTGTCCCAAGCTTTTTCTTACCAGCAAGGACAAAATATGATCCTGTACAGTGATAGCAAGCAGTAGCGTTGTGTGCCATTTTTATTTAAAGGGTAAAGACTGAAATCTGCAGACAAAAATGTTTTGCTCCTGCTTTCACATAAACACGTTCAACAGGTGCATATGCAAATTGTAAAATGGCATTAAAAATATACTGTTAATAAAATAGCAACACACATAACAAGCAGCTTTATATAACTGTGCTACAAACAACTCCTCCTCCCAAACAGTATTAAATAATTATCAAATAAATAACTGTAGCAACAATCTCGCTAGCTGACTGATTGAAAGAAATCCTTCCATTTTTCTTATAAGCTTCCTCCCATTCATTTAGCTACACAGCACATGGTGAGCGTACAGGAATTTCTTGCATCCCTCAGTTTCTACATTTTTGCAGATCTGTCCCTCTGTGCTTAAGGAATTGCTGAACCAACTAACATCTCAACAGTTCCGATCCCCTTTATAGCTACTTCTTGTCAACAGCCATGGTAGAGCTGATTCTAGATCCAGCTGTATGACTTTTATGACCTTGGATATGACCTTTATTTTCCCTAATTTAGAAGAACAGTTTATATTGTAGCACATCGCTGTTGAAAACAATTTCGATCAGTAGTAGGCACATCTTTCAAGATAAAATCTCATAAAGCAAAAAATAAAATGTACCATATCTATATATGCTTCTATATGCATATCTCACCTAAATTATTTTCTGATGTATAGAATAAGATGTTCAACCATCCTTCCACAGAATTAACAGAAAAAAAGGTATGTCCTAGTTGAAAAAAAAGACTTGAGTCTGTAATTTCCGAAGGAAAAAAGAAAAAAAACACAACAGGTCCTTCGGACCATTAACTAACCTGAGTGGTAACTACAAGCTAATGTTCCTATTTTGGACTGTGCTGCATGTCTTGTATTTATTCCTCAACGTGCAGCTCTGCAAAAATGAATCCTCAAGTCATGCATACCTGTCTCAGATGTATGGCTGTTAAAGCTAACTGGACCTGTGCCATATGGCTGTCCCCTTAACACAGCAAGTTTGAAGTCGTTTTAGCACAGCTGTTTTGCTGAACTGAGAAATTCAAAGAGACATAATTCTGGGCTGGGAGCTCCTTGGAGGTTTTAGACAGTATAAGGTATCATCTTTTGTTTTCTTGTACAAGTTAAAGGTGGTATTGTTGAAGTTGACAGGCTCATAGTTAAACAATAAGGGCCCTGTCCTATTTCCACTGGAAAAAAAATACTGCGAGTATTTCAAATGAAATAGGAGGGTTTCTATCTTCCAAGCTTAAAAAAGAGAAGGCACATTTAAAATTTTTAGTGGCTAGAGAAATTTCTTCAAGATAAGGAAAATATATATGTGAAAATAGTTAAGGAATACTCATTTTTTGGCTATTGCATATGTACACAGTACACAGTCACATCACACTATTTTCATTATTATCCCCTCACTCTATGTCTACAAGTAATGAAACCAAACAAAATTATGTTCTGTGTAGAACTGTGAACTCAGAAGTCCTGCAGGCTTCTTAATGATTAGTAATTACAAAATACCAGTGCCTCTGAAGTTAGTTACAAATTCATCTCTTTTAACTTAAACAGATAAATACGTGAATAGTTTGAAAACACATACATTTCTGGGTTGATCCTTAAACAGATGAGATAATGTTCTGTTCAGTAACATCCAGGCATGCTATTAGTAGCCATATGACATTTTGCTTGCCCTTATGCCATTTTCTTCAGGAAGAAAAGCACACTCAAAGAACGTATACTTACTCTCTCCCCTTTAGGACCTGCAGGGCCATGTGGACCAACTGGGCCATCTACACCCTAAAAGGAAACAAAATAGGTGAGAGAGATGTCCTGCTCTTACAAGTCTTTGTTTTTAATAGCTATTTTCCAGCTGAGAACTAACATGGAATCAGTTTTCACTGGTTGAAAATACAGATTTAATTCTGATGGGACCTGGGCAAACAAATCCATCTAGCTTTCAAAATTCTACCTATATGCTCTTAGGTTGTGAAGTAACCCATCTTTCTTGTAGTTGGATCGGACTTTATTCCTGGAAGTTAGCAGATTTACAAAGATGTTAAATTTAATACGGAATTAAAGGGTCAAAAAAGGATTTTTTTAAAAACAATTTTTTTGTTTTTTACTGAAATGTCTACCTTACAGGTGGACACACCTGTCACAGTGATCAGCGTCAGGCTTACAGAAACCTTCAAATACAAACCTCTAACCCTTCCTTCACTTCATCCCTTTCTTTATCATTATAAAAGCCAAAAAAAGGTAATATTTATTTTAAATATGAGAATGCCTAAGGCAAGACCCCAGCAGATTTGCATCCATTTCACTGATTCAATATTAGCATTAAACAAATATGCTTCACTGTGTAAACCAAACTCCTTATCAGGGAAATAAGCACTCCACTAAGATGTTGTTATTTTTCTTTTAAACCCTGCTTCAGATCACTGCTTCAAGGACTGCACACTGTTGATTTCATTGCCGATGTTGAAATAAGTACAAGCAAAAGAAAGGAAGATGTACAACATGCTTCATTCAAATGGCAGGTTTGCTCAGAGCTAGTGACTGCGACACAGCTTCAGTCCCCAGGCTAGTGCAAATCAAGGAGGAACAAAATATCCAGAAATAAAATAAATATGGTTAGATATCCTGTTAGTAGATAGCTACTAGACCTGTTAGAATAGATGTTCCTATTCAAGCAGGCTGTGCAGCGCATCTATCCAACCAAAAATCAATACCAAACTGCCTTTTTAAGAATCAGAGCTCCTTCTACGGAGAACTACATTCTGCTTCCCACACCGATCGCCTCAAAAGCCTGCTCTGTGGCCCCCTCTGATACAACGTGGAAAATGCTTCAATGTTTTGCCTTCATTCCTACGTGCCATGTGTGAGCTGGGCAGGCAGAACCGCTGGAAAGCACACGGACTCAGTAACGAAGAATGACACAGAAACACAAGGGACTCACCCGGGGTCCTGGCTTTCCGTCTAAGCCAGATGCTCCCTGTATGATTAGGTGGAAGCATGGATGGTGGGTATAACACGAATGACAAGAACATGAAATTAGTAAGCGGTGCTGATGAATAAACATAATTCAAACGCACAGTACAAATTGTGACAAGGTTCTGGAATGGGTATCACATTACTACGGCATGTTAGTTAAAAAATTACATAAAACATCGAGAGCCTCGTTCTGTTCTCACATAACTGTATCATCATTGACCCATCTCTGGCTTCACATCAGAATATATCAGAATACAGCATCAAGCTACATCAGTGCTATAAATATCAGATGTTAAGGTGTTTTTGAGCCTTAACATAAAAAATATTTAGCTTGTAATTTGCTAGCACAATTTCTCATTTGTAAATTATGACAATACTGAATACTATACTACACAAAGAGAAAAATATATGTTAACATTGATAGGAAGTATTTAAGTGTAAGAAAACTGTGTTATGTAGCCAACAAAATCTGGATCCTGGCAACAATGACCTCATTCATTTCCAAGAGCCCGAGAGACAATTAGATTTCCTGTTTTTTTCAATATACTACCATTTTAGAGCACAGCCAAGGGCTGGAAGTGTGTAGCACGCAGCACTTGGGCCTATTGACTTTAACATCCTTGGGGACAGGATGACCTCTGCTGGATTTTATATGAATAACATACCAGCCCTGGAAGCTCTGAGGGACTCTCCAAGGACTGTTGGCAATAATGCTAGGACTAAATTATTTGGATACTTGGGACATAGGAAGTAATATGGACCAAAAAAAGAGAAATAACTCATTAATCGTGAAAATGAGCCTTTTTTAGAAAATAAAACATCTTGACTTTGCAATCTAAAATGACATTTAGAAAAATATAGTAAGGAGGAGCAAGACGAGCTATATAATTTGTAAAACTAAAGGAGTATTTTGCTGTAGGCTAGAACAAATATTTCTAGTGGGACCAAATCTTTAATTTCCCTTTTAGTCATTTTTGAGAGTTTGGCTAAGAACTGAAAAACTCATTCAACTGTCAACTTGAAAATGCTCAGTTTTATCAAAACAAATGGAAAATCTCAGTGAAGCTGACTTTGCTTAGAATCTCTTCTGCACAAAATTCTTGAAAATATTTATCAGGAGTTTTGGTTTCTTTGGATCACCTAAGTTTTTCTCCTCCATTTTACTATAACAATGCAATCACATGGAGTAACCCCTCTGTTAAACAACAGAAGAAATGAACTCTTTCTGTGAGGAAGAAGTAAAACTAACTTTTCATAGAGTGCTTTCAAATGCACAAAGGGAGCACACAAAGTATTTTCTCCTTTATCACCCTAAATTGCAAGAATCATAACATTTTCATCTGAAAATTTTATCTTTAAAGTCTTTCGTTTCCTTCTAAGATGAAATTCTGGCCAGTCAGAATGTTTTCTAAAGCACACAAGGTAAAAATCATTGCATTAAGGCAAGGTAAAAATCCAGCATCCAAAGTGAAGGAGAAAAAATTAAAATTCCCTAAACCAATTCTTAACTTTGCTCAGTCAGACCTCTCCATTTTAACCGCAAAAGTTCTAACAGAGGAAGAAAAACTGAGAATATAGAGAAAAAAAAAGATGATTCTTTTTTAACACAAACACCATACAACATTTAAATAACAGTAAGGTTAATGGGGTGATGGCATCCTTGTGACACTGCACACTTTCAACTGACACATATTAAAAAAAAAAATAACTGACAGCACTAGATGTTACAGGATGTTACTGTGGACAGATTCTGGGTAAAACAAAACAAGACTGATGTTCTGCTCCAACATGGTACATTTTATATATGCTGTTGAGTAAACCAGAGTTGTTTGTTGAAAGCAGAAAGAGAAGTTTGTGATTTGTACTGAAATTGAATAGGCTTTTTTACTTACTGGAAGACCAAGGGGCCCTCTGTCACCCTTTTGACCTGCTTCACCCTTCAATCCTTTAAGACCATTTAACCCTGGTTCACCCTAAATGTAAAAGTATAAATGCCAAATTTTTGGTGCTATAATGGGTATTTAAGCTGGGATAGAAGAAGCCACTCTCAGAAATGGCTGCAAATTCCAGTTCAAAACAATGATACAAATTCCATCTTCTCAGCCTATTGGCAAATATATACATATATAATACTGTGCAAAAGTACTTGAGAGGTATCTTGAGTACTTGAGAGTTGATATCTGTATGAAAATATTACCAGAAACTGACAGATAACAGATTCTCTTGAGTCATTTCCTAATAATTATCTGAATATTTAGATGATTTAAATGATTTTTTTTGGAATTTCCTCAGATCTCATAAACTATCCTATACTAATAATTCAAATTGAAAGAAAAATTCTGCAAGAATAAGCCTCAAAACAGAAGGTTTCTACAGTAGGATCCCCTGAAAAGTACATTCTGTATGGAAGCAATATTTTTGTCTTATGGTAAACTGGAATTTGCAGCAAACTCTTTATACATAAAGATATTTTAAACCTTTAAGCATACACAATTAAACAGTATCAACTTAAAAGCAGCAGTATGTTTTACTATGCCAAGGTATTTTTGGAGTCCATAGTTTCTGTGTTCATATAAAGAATTTTAAACAAGGTAAGAAATGGCACTTGTCTTTTTGTGATTGTAAAATCTATGCATAGATTATTATATAAACTATTACACAGAGAATAATGGTGGCCTTGGAATTGCCACTAAATCATTCTCACCTCATGTAAAACTACCTCAGCATGGGGGCTACCCAATCAAAAAAGGTACTGACCATGCCAGCCTCTTTTGGGACACAGAAATACTTGGGTTTTCATCCAGGCTGCTCCCTATGGCCTTGTTCCTAGGTTTCCCTTTGATGTATTATGTTACACTATATAAATATAAATATATATAAATATATATATATATAAAAATTCTGAATAGCAGCTATTTTGTTGCCTTAAGTAACTCCAGACCTCTTCTGCCTCCTTTGCACCCTGCCTAAATAGCCATTTCTTTGTTCTTTTTCTAGTTGCCTCAATGTCACTTTCAGAGCAGTAGCACTGAAAACGCCAAAGTTTTGGAAACAGACCTGAGAAATCCCACAGAAGCCTGAGTCTCAGGCCAAAAGCCTGAGGTAAGATGGGTCTGGTGCTAAGATGGAACAGATCTGACTTCAGAAGATGGTTCATGACTCAAGCTTTTTGCGCCAAGGAAATGTGAACAGTCTCATAATGCGTCAAACATGGTATGGATATTTCTGTCTCACACTTACAAGAAAAATCTAAACAAATACCAAAATCTAAACAGAAAAACTCCTCCTCCTATTTTTTAAGTTGCATGTGATTAGGGAGACATAATGATTAAAATGATCATGACCAACAACAACGCCAACCTTAATGAATGCTATAGTATAGTGTCACACTGAATTTTAATGTATGGGTAATTACTGATATGTGAATTAAAGAAGTTAAAATATTCCAACCCTGCAAAAATCTCCGCCTCCCTCTTTCCCCCTCCTCCTTCAAAGGGCTGTTTTCCCAGGGCTTACAGAGTCCCTACTTTATACCCGCATGTAGTATTGCTGTGGAAGATGTTCAAATACTATTAAGATGAACCTGCCTGATTGGAGATTCTGGGTTGGAAAACGTGAACACAGAGGAATAAGTTCGTGAAAGGGAACTTCCACAAAGCATGAAAGAACTGGCCAGCAAAGAACCTGGCACTAAAGAAGATGAGAGGCTATTTGTACTGCAAGAAGTAGGAGATGCAAGAGAGAGTAAAGGAAAAGACGTTTATCTGGCTCCGTTTCCTGAGCACACAACACATTCTTCGTCTATGTTCAGAAGTGCAACTTGAAGCAATTCCAATTGCAATGGGAAATGGTGTGCAACTTGCCCACAAACAGGACACTAAATAATTTAGAGCCACATCACAGTTTTTAATACAAAAATTGAATTTAACCTATGCTCAGGAGAAATATAAATCAGAAACAATCACAAAAAGTTTTAAAAGCTTTAAAGGATATCTGTTAATGTGAAAATCTGCTTTAAGGTTTAAGAATATCAGAATACTTAATAAATAAGACATGAGACAAAACATAGCTGCATGCATTAAAGAATAAAGCATGGCACTACAGACATCAAGAACATGACTATTCAAGACAGCAATTTACCTTTGGGCCAGGCAGTCCATGAGGTCCCTGAAAATAAAGATCCCATTTTGAATTACGAAAATATGCCACAAATTTTTAAGAGTTTGTTGCTTTAGCTGGGCACAGCTTGCAGTTGTATTTTTGTCCTCACAAATGAAATGCAGCCTTCAATAAAGCAATCGTAAACACCTGATACAGAGAATAAATCAGAGGTCTAGAACGTTAAGACAGGTACGTGCAATTCATTTCTCCACTTCCCCAAAACTTTAAGACATGCAGAAAAGGTTCCTCTCTAAAGGTCACATGCTCTTACAGCACTTCTTTTAAGCAGGCATTACAATGAGAAGAGGGTTTAAGCCCTTTCTTCTTCCCAAGCTTACCATAGGGCCTGGAGGACCATGTGGCCCTGCTGGTCCAGGTGGTCCTATGATCTACAGGTAAAAAACAATGTCATTAAATGATGCAGAGTAAAGAACTCCCTCACAAATACCAAAAATTAGACTGACCCTTCTTCTGGGAGCAAGCACTTAAGAGATAATAACGCAACAATGCCTACTGGCAGCAGGTCTAGAAAGGGTTTTAGGAATGGGCATTATTCTCATTTGAAAGACAGGGTACCTGAAGTGTAGACTTGCCCATGCCACAAGGCAACACGCATCTTACTCTTACTCCTGGGCTCTAAGATACATTTTAAAACATCACCTGAAAAAAATATCTACAGTACCAAGCAGAGACGTTTGACCTTTTTATATTTTACAGCATGTGCTCTTTAGCTGTGTCTGCACTGTACAAACTACAGGGGCTGAAGAGGATGATGTCTGATTTTATTCCTCCTCGATACTGGTGAGTGGAAAGATACTAAATAATTCATGGCAGAGTTTGGCACATTCTCAAAACTCCCCTTTGTTTCTCCTTTTATTCCACATACCCGAATTGTACCGAAAATTCCCTGAAGTCATTAAAAGAGGTAATCAGGTTGTTCAGCAACTAGTGCATGCATATTCTGTGCTGTACTTCTTCCAACAAATCCATGGCAGAGAATTTCCTGATGATTTTTTACACAGTTTAACATCACCTCTTTCCATGGGTTTAATCCAAAAAGGGTGTTATTGTAGCTCTGTGATGGCAGCAGGGATGCTGAGCCAGTCCTCCACTGATGCACAGCCCCTCTGCTACACAAACGGCTGGTAATAACAGTAGTGACAACAAAACAAGCTTTGCAACATAAGACAAAGAAGAACGAGGGGGTTCCACTGTCTGTGCAATCTCCTGAAAAAGGCAATGCTTCTTTTGGGTGAAAACAAGGTGAGCAAGATGAATAATTACACATTTCCAGGAAAAAAGCAATTAGTATTTACAAAAGCATTGCTCAGGAGGTAGCCACGCATGATCTATGACCTGTGAGTGTAAAAATCAACATGGTAGGTGGTAACAAATTAATTTTCATTTCAGAGAAAGAAACTCGCAGACACTGCAGAGATAAAGGGCATCTAGAGTGTCTTGAGATGACAGAGAGTAAACTTCAGTTCTTTAGAGCTGTGGTTCTAAATACCAAGTGCATGTCACCATGGACAAGATAGTTAGCTTTTCCTCTGAAATTTCATAATGTACTGTGTTCAGATAATGGTACTCATCACTCATATTCCAAGAGTATTGTGTGGGTTTTTTTTAAGCTTTTACAATGCTTTGAAGATCAGGAGAATGTCTGATCTTGAAAAACTTACAGATGTGGGTAGTCTTACAAATGGACAAGCACAGAATAACAACACATTTTTATAGGTGTAAGCACTCCCTTAAAATTACACATAGGCCAAAATATCTGTGAGATCAGAGCTTCTTCCCCAAATGATTGAAATGATGCCCAATGATACAAGGCAGTCTTTATCTTGGGTCACATGTCATTATTCCCGATATTGCTGAAGTCAGTCTAGTCTGCTTCTCACTGGACCTTCTGAGTGAAATGTTCAGATAGATTGGTTTTATTAGTTTTCATTCTCTATTTTATCTTGCAAAGCATTTATCGTTTGATTCATTACTGAGCCGGAAGGCTTTCACTGAAGCGAGCAGAACCATTGATCATGACGGCAATTTGAATATGGAACAGAATTAAATCTTTAGCATCTCTTAAAAATATTATTTAGCTTGATGACTAGAATTTCTTACATTCTTAAAAGGATAAGGACTGTATTTCTTCAAAGAGTAAAATATTTTGAAAGCACAAGCGCAGTAAACATCAAGGACGTCAGGAAGGATCAGCTAAGATATGTTCTTCAGAACTAAAAGCTGCAGAACCATTGCCGGACTAGTATGCCCACTATAACAGCACAGTGAGACTTACTGAAGGGCCTTGGGCACCAGGCAAACCAACATCTCCTTTTTCACCTTTCATACCACTGGCTCCCTACAAAAGCATTACAGAATAAGATCTATAAACAGTTTAAATCTTATTAACAGTAACATTCAACCTAGAAATTATAACATTTATTAGTAAATAATTATCATTTTCTAAAAAGAATGAATATAGCTTGCATATAATAAAATTGAAAACTTTTATCGTGGTGCGACTTCAGTAATAACTGTTAGCAAACATAAAGGTATGCTTTTACATTATCCGATATCAATTAATTTTAATATTTTTATGTGTGGTTAAAATAGAGATAGATCTGTGGCATGTTGCTTATGAGAAGTCCTTAAGTTCACACTGCTTTTATGATCTACTGTACTATGAATACATTTATGGATCTGTTTGTATTTTTACTGAGACATTTCATTTGTACATATATAGGTATAGGAATAAGAAGGATGCACTTCCTATAAATGTTTATGCATTTTCTCTCCCTCCTCAATCTAAGTCATCTGAAATTCCTGACATTGTTCATTGTTCAGGAGAATGACAGCTCATTCTCCTGAACTTTCTCTCTACCAAATTTATATTTGCCCAAGTTCTGCTGTACGTTTATTACAAGAGACAAGCAAATCTGGTCAACACACCAACTAATCTCTTTCCAAAGGAGTAGTTTCTTTGACCATAAGTAGAGTGAAAAGTTCTGACAATCCTATGCCTCCTCCTAGGTTAGATGCAGAACAATCCTATAATTTTTCCTCAGTGCTCTCTGTCCCAGTTTCAATTTATCAGCACTGTTAGGAATTACTGGTAGTGGAAGAGCTAAAAACAAACCAAAAACCCCAAGCATTTTAGCTAAAATAAATTCATTTTTCATACTCACTGGCAAGCCAGGCAGTCCAATTCCTCCCTTTTCTCCAGGCATTCCAGGTTCACCTGTATCCCCTTTTGAGCCTTTAGGACCCTAAGATATCATATATTTATACAGCCATTAATATGTAGAAATGCAGCCATTATGTGACCACACATTATGCAGCAACACAACAATGATCATCTGGTTATGACATCTATGCGACAATTTGGGATCACAGAAAAAAATCCCCTGAAATAACCCACAGTTGCTCATGTGATCTGCACTAGGTTATTTAATTATAATGTACCTGTTCCCCATCAACTCCTGGAGTTCCTGGGGATCCTGGTTCACCCTGCAAAAGATGAAATGGAATTGGATTATCATCCCCTAACTGCCCCAGGCATCAATGGAAAGATGCAGCGCTAAATGAACTAAGTTCATCAGTAATGTCTCAGATTAGTAAATTGCCATAATTAACAAAAAAAAAAGCCAAAGAAAACTACCTCAGAGAGAACATGAAATAGTATATACAATATCTATGTGCAACATACTGAATAAATCCCCTGGTTGATTAGGCCAGTCCATAAACTTTGGGTAATACAAAGGCCAGAGAATGGCATGAGAATTAAAAAAATTATAACAGTAATAAACAAGAAACCTGAGAAGGCTGGTGAAAAGACTCCTGTCCAATGGAGGCTTTGTCAGTTACTGGAATGAATACAGAATCATGGCCCTAGATACGTGCAGGATAGACAGATAGGATAGACAGAGCCTTCATGTTTTCTTCTCCTGGCTAATATAACTCAGAGAGTGAGCCTACATTCAGAAAAACATTGCCACATGCACTGATTCCTGAATGGGAAGGCTCACGCATAAGAAGGAAAACAACCTCTTCCACACTCCAACTCTTCCCTGTTTTTACAGCATACTCCAGGCTGCAGAAATGCTTTGTGCTGTGTAGATCCTAATGCAGAAATACGTTTCTGCACACTTAACTCTGTATTTCATTATCAATTTTCATGTAGAAGGAAGAACCTAGTTTCTTACAAGTTCTCAAAACAATTCACATCTATAATGTAACGTATTTCCTTATGATCCCATGGATGAAGCCTAAAATTCTAGTGTTGCTATTCAGGAAACACTTCAGAGAGCTTGGAATCACTGAGGCAATTTCTTCCTTCCCAACATAGATTTGAGAGAAAGTATGATATATCATTCTTAAGAAATAAGTCAAACTAAACTTAAATAATTTGAAACCAGTTTAAGGAGGGCCCACTACTTCAACACATTTCTTTTTAGCATATGCAAATTCAGAACTTAAATTTTACAGGATAGTGCAGCATACGGTATTGGTTGCATCTGTGCAGGGTCCTCACTAGTTAGCACTATGCATAGCACCAGACAGGTGGGATTAGCAGATTTAGGGTTGCAGCCAGGCTCTTGCTCACATGTGCACATTTTCACTTTTACTGAGATTAGAAAATACTATGCTTATTTGGGTATGCGCCACTGAAATGCAAAGCCACACTGACACGTGCTCATCTTGTGGCCAGCAACACCCTGCGTGCAGAGTTTTGTCTGCCTCATTTTCCTACCCAACCAGAGAGGATGCACAGGAGCCACTGGGGGGTTGCGCAGCTACTTTTCCAGACACACAGCACCCTCAGCAGCAGAAGGCCAAGAGAACAGCCACTGAGCAGATCCACGAGGAGATGTCTCCTCCCTGTATCAGTACCAATTCATTCTGCTGGTTCACAACTGAGCATGTGTGTGTGGCAACTAAACAAAACAGCATCTCTCTCAGAAAGCTACATTTCAAATTTCTGGGCTGCACAGTTTGCAACATGCTGTATTCTGTAATATTACAGGCAAATATGCTGTACAGGAGAGCTTTATGTACATGTGTGCCTGTGCCAGTGAAAAATCCAGAAAATATCTCCACTCTTAAAACATGAGGGTAAAGTAAGGAAGATCACCTTTGGCCCTTGGAGTCCTTGGGGTCCTGGTGGTCCTGGTGGACCCTAAACAGAAACATACAAACCTGTCAGCTTTTAAGTAAATTCCTACAGGACTTGCCACGGAAACACAGGCTGAATGTTAATATAACTACCTTAACAAAATGGGTTAGATTATTAACACAAGGGAAACCAACACCAGTTATGAATAAGTTGTTAATTTACGGCAGCTCTCAACAAACAGAAGGGTACCACAAAAAAAGCCGTGTTAAAATAACACTTCAGTTCGTATTTTATGATAAGGTGCTGCTGCTCCCATTGATGAAATGGCAAAGCTCATCTTAATGGCAGAGAGGGCAAAACTCCCCTCAGCCACACTGGGCTGGCATTCATGTCCTGATCCAAGGCAATCCAAGGGCAGGAGGAATCTACCGACTGCAGAGAGGCTTCTGCTGAGAGATGCTCAGTGCTTTGTGAATTGTTAGGGAATGAGTTGCAACTATTTCATTCATTTCTATGAAAGGCTGAGGACACAATATCAGGGATCAAATATTGGTCTGGATGGTGCACAGTGGGGGGTTTTAAACAAAATTTTTTTAAAATCCCTTCCATCAGTATTGTGAAAGCATTTGCACAGACAGGAAAATAGGTCTAATGGCAAACCTACAGAGAAAAACTTGAAACAAAAAGAATGATAAAATAATTTAATTATACGGCATCTGTAGCTTTAAGGGATGGTTGAACCTGCAAAATTAGAACCATCTCCTAGCTGGTGTCACTACTTTCAGAAATTATGTCTGACCTGATATGGCTACACCTCCTCCAAAAAACTGATTGAAGTAAGGGCACTGGAACACTCAATAGTCTGCATGCTCTTGGGAGAGGTACTGGAGAATTTAAATTTATTTTTGAGATCTTATAAGATGGAGCAAGAGAACTCCCCATACTTGTACTTCCTATTTGGCTTTACTTACTTATAGTTAACTGAAGTGGGCCTTTCTTAGAAAATAATTTGCATCTGCTCTGACAATTCCCAAATGAAGTTTTTTCCCAGGACAATTTAAAAGAATTGAATTTCCATCCTTAAAATAGGATGATAAAAGAAAACTGTCTGGTTCTCAAATCCTACTTCTTGCTTTTGTTATACTCCCACATAGACACACAGATGGGAGCACAAAGCAAAAAGTGCAGATCAGTTATCTGCCTAGATGTATATCTACAAAAACATTGAGATCGTTATTTTCCTGGTCTCTCCCCTCGATTA